AAATTTCATATGGAAGTTATGCTCAAATGACGGCACACAAATGTGACGTTGAAAGCGGGGGGAGTCGTCACCCGCGCATGCGTCAAATGTACCGGTGCCATAGCGTGTCAATGTTTACAAACAAGCGTCTACCCACGAGCCTTTGCGATTCATCGCTTGGAACTAAATTCCCGCGGGTGCGCAGGTTACGACCCTTCCGCTTTAATAAATTTGACAACAAAGGGCGCTGTGCTGTAGCAAAATAAGTGAAACGAAATGATAGGCCTGTACTAAGTATTTTGGTTGTGCTCTCGCTGACCAGAAACATTAATTTGTGTTAGACCGGCTGTATAGGGTAACAATCGACTTATCCAACAGAATAAAATACTTTATCCTGCCAATTGTTTTTTTTTCAGTAGAATTAGCTAAGATGCGACACTGTAATGATTGATTGAGAGAGAGGACCAGTGATACGAATTGTGTGCTATAACATTCGAAGTACTTAGAAGGGAAACCGTTCTAACTAAAAAAAAAACAGCATTGGAATTGGCGAGTCAAATACTTTTATTATGATAACCCAGACCCAATATTAGACGTAAAATATTGACATGAGTAGTGTTGCGAATATGTTAATTATTTGGCGAGATCAGGCGTGACATATATTCACTTAATGTTACAATGTCTATTGAAAGTTGAAACGAGAGGAGAAGATCGTTCATTTAGTAAAACCATGAATGACAGGATAGATACTCGGATAAACAAGATTACACTCGTCATTGTATTTTCACCACAAATAGAACTCAGTAGTGTACCGATTAAATGGTGGAGATTGTGATCGGGTTTCGTAAGACGTCTCCTATATTTGGTAAATACACCTAGGCGTACTAGCGAAACCAAATCCGCAGTATATCTTTGTAATCAGGCCACATAGTCGATGCGTCAGTGAAACATCCTTGATTTCAAGTATAGCAAAAACTGAAGTTATAGTAGCCTTGGCTATTTTATTCGAGGCTGTGAGAAACAGAAACAAAAAAACGTTGTTTATTCGAACCTGAGAAAATTGTCGCGCCATCTACGACATATGCTGACAATTATTTCGTTTACATTCATCACAACTTCCACCCAGTTGTGACGTTTCTGACTACTTGCGTGTTGGTGAAAAAGAATAATTTATTTTTTCAATAGAATGCATTTACCCTATTTGGTAAGGGTTGGAATTTACATGTATCCTCAGAACATTCATTTCTTGTGACGTCATAACCGGCCAATTGGTATATATTCGGTCATGGTAACTCAAGTTGTCGTGTCGTTTCTGGTGAAAATCAGATCTGTCATGTACATTGGCCAGTAGATCGCGTTGAACACAAGAAACAAAAGAGGAAACAGGAACCTAGAAATCATATCAATCCTAATGGCTTTGTTTTTTATTCGCATTCCCTCGGCATACAGGCTGTCGGATAAGTTTGTTTCAATACCGTTTTTTTGATACGCCAATGCTGTTGCAAGTTTGTAATTGCTCCCCCGCCTCTGGACGTTTCCCCTCTGATCTCGACTGTAACGCCGGTTCTGTGCGAAATTCTTTCTTTTGGAAGTGAAGTCTTTGAATTTCTTGCGCGCTGATTGGTCATTCTCGATTGTGTACACGCCATTCCTGATTCCATTTTTAGTGCTCAGTCCATCGTCATCACTCAGTATTGTATCGGCACTTCCCCGGTTAAATTCCTACAAATAACACACTCAGGTATGTAAAATGTAAATATCAATCAGAAAGACATGCAGAAGCTATGACGCACATATTTACAATGACGTCATTGCCGAATTGAATTGTGAGGTAAAGTATATGAGTGACATTTTAGTGGGCGGTACTACTTCTTAATCTGACCATGTTAATTTGTTGCAGACTGGCTGAAGCCTTACATACTGTATGTTCGTGGAGATTATACAGAAGCTACGTGTAAACATGTCGCAAATGTTGTTGACAAAAAATAGTGGAACTAGTGGTCAACACTGGTGTCAGTTTCGACGTAAATATGGCCAACTGCGCATGCGTATGCACGATATGCAACGATATTGCATGGATAAGGCACTGAGAAAAGCTATCATTTATCACGTGATTCAAGACGAATTTCGTCTCAACACACAGTGAATGAAATAGTCATGTCTTATCACGTTGACATGATTACTATAACTGTACATCAAACTGTCATGTGGAATTAATAGTTTTCAATCCTCAGCAATACATATATAACCATCAACTATAACATGACGACAAATCAATGTACGCCCAGATGGTTGCTATGATATTTTTTGAAAATACAAAAAGTTTCATGATTTATCCCAAATTCTTGTCTGTTTAACATATAACTAACCGTTTCCATGACATCATATGCGTCTATTGAGTCAGCAAGTTCTTTCTTGTTCTGACCCTTGAAGAAGTTACTCAAAGTCTGACGATCTTGCCCGAGAGCATGAAGATAATTAGCCAGTGCAAACTCCAATAACGCCGCGAAGACAAAGATCAAACATGTCGCCAACCAAACGTCAATAGCCTATAGTGTAATAGAAAATTGTGAGTTTAACGCGCGTGACACTGATACAGTGTCGCAAACATGACGTAAGAAACAAACTGGTCACGTGTTCGGTATTTTCAGATATGCCTGGCACTAATGTAAATGCATTAATTATTCACTGGGTTTTAATTTAGCTATTTTCGCTGATAAATAAAATTTACTAAATTAAATCTACGTCCACAGTGAACAAGTAAAATAACAATAAAACTCATTGTTTCCTTGACAAATTCGTGAAATTAAAACCCAGTGAAAATAAATGGTGTTACTGTCTAAAAATCGCAGATTTAAATGCCATTGCCTGGAATCCCACAAAAAACATTATACCGAACGCAATGAATATTCTGGTCATCAGTTGTGGTAAAAGTATGAAAAAACAGAAATTAAAATCGATCTCTGTATTTGAGTTTACCTTGGCATAAACAACTTTCGGGAGTTGTGAGCTGACGCCAGAACTCATCGTAGTGAAAGTGAGCACAGTGGTAATTCCCAGCGCCACACGAGCCGGAGCCGCACTGACATCAACCCAAAACGAGACCCACGATACCACGACTAATAGTATGCTAGGTACGTACGTCTGTAGAATGTAGTAGCCCAGCTCACGTATCAGGACAAAATGAACCTCGATGTGCGCGAATGAACCTGTAATAGTGACGTCACATGGACGTAAAGTAGAAGTAAGTAAAATCATCACCACTGTTGAAAACAGTGTTATCACAGAAAATAATAAAAATAAAGTAGATATCACCATACCCAAAAAATGTTAATAATCGTACATGCCGATGTCGAATTTAAGATTATATGTCATGTTCTTTATACTTTGAGAATTATGACGTCATGCCATCGGGGAGTCAACAGACGAATTTCGAGATACAAGAGTCTCAAATCATGGAAAATGGTCAAAATTTACATTTTTTCACACTCGTTTCTATGGTGAGATTATTTCTTCATATCTCAAAATTTTGCTACTTGACATGGGAGTCACACATTTATAATTGATATGAATCCTAATATTGTGAAAATATTTAAAAAATTTACATATAATTTAGTGAGTACAGCGTGATAACAGTTCTCATTATATATACAACGGGAGGTCCTGTCCCACAATGCATTGCATAAATGTGTAGTGACATGACCGATGCTATTAAAAAATAGTTCACTGTGTTTACTAAAATATCTCACCTGTAACCAACCAATCATTGTCTATCTCTGTTATTCGATATCCTGTCAATTTATACTGTGCCAATACCATATTGTCGTCATGATCGACAGGTTTCTCTACCGACCAATGTAACAATAAATCGTTTGTAGTGTAACCGTCTGAAAAGACAGACAAAATCAATTACATGCACAGTATGTACGCTATCAGAGGGCGTTCTTAAAGGGCGGTGATCGTCGCGCCGCGTCGTGTTCGATATGGGACTCATAGTAGCCACGTACACAACGCGTGTAAAATACATTGTTTGTTCACATGAAATTCGAACACACCGGTCCCATTTTTGATATGGTAAATACCCGGGTAAATAATCACAATGTTTGGCGTGAGACTTGACTGTTTTTATGTTGATGTAGTGTTGGAAAATTTACCCTAAGTTGTTTATTAACGGGGTCACATACCAGTATATTTAATAATAACAGCAGCACTTAACACCGTTATTTTATTTTCAGGTGCGAACAACCGGTTTTTGGGTGCGACAACCTAAACAGATTTGTTGGGTGTTTGGATACATTAGTTCAGACGTTGATGGCGCCATTCATTTAGGTTACACTTACATGGTTCAATTTGAATGCCACAGTTCTGTATGTCCATTGGAAATTGTCTTAGGTCCATATGACAAGAAAGTCTTAAACTTAGTCTGTGTGAACAAAAAAATCCAATGTATAAATTAATTTGTTTTGATTGCAGTGTTTGCTTTACAGACGCTAAAATAAACACCGCTATCTAAAGATTACGCCCTCTTATGGCAATTAATATTTCTGCCGTTGATGGCGGCAAACAAATTGCTACCTGAGTGTGTTCAAATTACGCATATCACAATAATTTAGATATCACCTGTCTTGTGATTATCCAAAGGTCTCGAAGCTATTATACTCTCGCGAGTATTTTTTTTTACATGTGCGTATAGTTTAGGAGTAGCAATATTTTTATGCCAAAATACAATGAATCGTTTTAGAGTCAGGTTCGGTTCACTGCGAATCTGATTTTTGAAAAAAAATGGAAAATAACACAAATAAAGTGTCATTTTAGTAGCAGTTTCAACAAGGAAGCACAATTCTTCGTAAAAAAACCACTATTGTAAATTTTGTAATACTTCTAGACATCAACAACTACCTTGAAAGACACTATATAAAATTGAGATATTGAGATATATCATTGTCGTAGGAAACAATGATAAATGCCATAAAACAGACAATACATGACATGTTTACTTGATTTAATTGATATAAAGGCGCAACTATTGCACAGTTCCTATAGCAGTACAATGTTATACAGGAAATAACAAAGACGCATTACCTAATATTGCCCAATACAACTATCAGAATTAAAAGTTTGTATTTCTTCATCCAATATGGCGCTGTAGGGACTCATCATTGTTTCAATAACAGGGAATGAACGGGGTGTGCGCAATAGGCGAAACACAGTCGTCTCACGCGTTTGCGATTTAAAAATCACGTGGAAAAGGAGATGAACGAACACCCATGTTTTCGACTGAGCGCGTGTGTAAATCGTGCAGACATTTTCAAATGATGAAGTAGTGAGCTAGCCGACCATTGTTTACCTATCAATGTATACTGTATTAAAAACCATATATCACTAACACAAACATGTAAACATTTATAATTATATATACAATAAGCCCAATTTTACCCAGAACACTTTAATTTGTTCTTCTAGCTGTCCACTGCATTTGCTACGTTTACCAAACACTCACTTTATTTTGTAGATGTATGCATTTCACATAATGAATCACTAAAGCAAAGCGACAATTGTCTAAATTCACGATAACTTGCTTTCATTTCATAGGAAACAATGGTCAAATTCTATAAAACAGACAATACATGATATTTGTCGTAATTATAATTCCACTATCTTTATTTATTATAGCGTATTTATTTATGAATATGGCGCCAACATTAATTAAATTCCAAGTCTTCTTTTATCGATCCTTAACTATGATGATGCACCATATAATCACTTTCCAGACACATACTTTACAAGCCAAATTGCTGTTAGCTAGAATTTGATGTGAAACAATATCTAAAAACGCAGTAAATGAAATTAATGTTCTTTCACAAGCAAATCATCGTCTAATTTTGCCTCGGGAATGTTCGTTAACTCGTGTCGCCCGTGAATGTTCGTCATTTCGTTTTGCCTAGTTAATGTTAGCCATCTTGTTTTGCCTAGTGAATGTTCGTCATCTGATTCCGCTTGTGAATGCTAGTCATATCGTTTCTCTCGTGGCAGTTCGTCATTTCGTTTTACCTCGTAAATCTTCGTCATCTAGTTTCGCTCGTGAATGTTTGTCATCTCGTTTCGCTTCGTGAAAATTCGTCACCTCGTTCCACTCGTGAATATTCGTCATCTTGTTTTGACGCGTGAATGTTCGTCATCTCGTTTTGCATTCAGTGTTACTCCAAATCATTAGCTCCTTCGAACAAAACATTTCATTCAAAACAGGTACCAATTATAAATTCAAGGATACATAACTGACACGATCTTGATTTTTTCAATTTCAAAAATGGTGTTTCTTAGCAACACCACATTCAAGTGCAATTAGAATGACATTATGATCTATGCAATATGAACTTGTGATTAAAAAACATGTACAGAATAAGATAAAAGCAGCAATTACGTGACATTTTTAATATAGCAAGGATCTAAGACAGTTATTGTTGACTTAAAACACAATAAATCGAGACTTCAAACAACCGCCCAAAGCTATGCAGACATGTATTTGTTTCCACGGAAACAACTAGGAGCAACTCTCTTCCTATTTGATTTGTGTCGCCTCTACATAATCTAGCGCACATTGGAAAATTTAGAAAGTGTAGCTTTCTTATTTTTTCTTCAGCTTTCCTATCAACGTTTTTTTCTTCTAATAATCCAGCTCCTTGAAGCCACCTCACAACATGCTATGAAGTCACAACAATAACATGTCACACAAGTAAATAATAAAACCGTTCACAAGACGGGAAATTGTTATAGGTTCTTCGTGTAATGAGGTGTTTGTATGCAAGGGAAAAATACGTCGAATTGTATTGGCGATGGCTTAATATTACCCCCAATGTATCGTTTGACTGATTGGTATTTTTTCCTGATTTGTAGAAATGTGAATACCCGTTTCCCAATTTGTCTCTTTATTTAGTTTCATGCCGTGTTCAAGATGGCTTCCTCTTATACTAATTATCAGAAAATTAATTTATTTTATTATCACTTGTACGCTAGTTGACTGTGTGTGTGTGTCATATACATCACTTATGGTTATTTATTTTAGCAAACATCCAAACATTACCGATAATGTATTTTGGTTTAAGGCACCTCATGTTACAAATGTCACATGTACATTATTGTCTGTAAATAATTTGTCAAAGAGAAAAAAATATGTTGAATTATGATTATGTCCGTTTATTAATGGTGAAATGGTATGCAAATGGTGTAAATAATATGCACATTTTTCATCAGGGTTAACTCTGGCGTGTGACCGTGTTTGTAGAATCTTATGGCGTTAACAAATCTATCAACACTGTAACTACTGATTTTGATTCATGGCTTGTTTTACTACATATGTTTAAGACATTCAGATAAATGCATCGTTCTTTCGTCACGTGACGACAAAAAATGTTTTTTTTTCTAAAATGTAGCACGAATCAAACAATCTCAGAAAAAATATTACTATTAACACTCATGAACACGAGACCCCAAGAGGTCGGGTCACGTGACTTTCGGGATTAAAACAGCTACCATGTGTGACCTGGATAAGATTTAATGTGACGTCATCATCGACAATTCACCAAGAGTCGCGATAGCAACCTTTTCCGTAATTTGAATTTATTAGTTTTCTGTGTTGCACTGCTTTCCTGGCATCATTATCAATCTATCTATCGTGTGTCACTTGTGTCTATTGTCTCGGTAATGTTGTTTTCTAGGCAATCTACGTTTTTCGACATACCAGTAGTTTGCCCAAGTAATATTTCCAACACCGAAGCCTGGTGGACGTCATGGAAACTGCATTATCTACTCGGCTTGGGTGATTGTATAAAAGTGGGAGAATATTAATCGATTTATAAAACCGTCGCCGTAAGGCCCAGTCGTAAACTTTCTACTCACCCCTACGTCACACGACAATAAGTGCTTGGATGATTGATTTAAGTATCTAAGACGCGCGTAAGTCGACCAATCACACATCTCATGTTATCTCTCATTCACGTATTTATGCACGCTTTTCGTGACATAGCGGTGATCGAAAGATGTACGGCGGCGTTTTGTCATACAGTTCATCATAAATCGACTAATATGTTCACACTTCTGCACGATTGTATTCCAGTGGAGTGGGTCTTTTCAAAATCTCCATAATAGTACAGTTCTGTTGTTAAAGCAGAAAGCAACTCAAAAAAAAAATATAGTGATTTTTTTTTATTTTTTCACACGTGACATTTCATGCTACAAAGATGGAAACAAATATTGCGTAACCGTACTTAGCTTGGTGGAAATCGATGTACAAAATTAAGTGCATACGTTTTGTTTGTTGTGAAACATTCTATCATTGTTTCCTATCTTAAAATGTTGGTTGGTGCTGTATAGCGAAGAATTGAGATATGGTTTCTTACATACAATAAACCTGTCCACGTCTAGAAGTATTACGAATTGACATTATTTTAGTGTTTTCCACTGAAAAATGTATATGTGAGACAAACTATGGAAACCGCTGCTAAATTGTTTTGTTTATAAATCTTCTCGGACAGTCCCCCAGATTGATTGATAGTGAATTTAAAAAGTGAACATGCCGTTGCTTCAGTCTAAAATAATTAATTATAAACAGATTTGGACGCGAATTGTTGTCATTGCTATATGCGCTAATATGGGCAGTCTACTTTCAGGTAGAAGCCTACTCATAAATTAAAATACCCAGAATTTATTCATTTTGCAATGAAATGTACTCCAAGGCAATATAAGGATATTGACCTAAAAAAAGTTGAGGGTCACCAGCCTTTTTTTCGAGAAATTGATGGTTGTATTTCAGTGGAAAGTAGCCATTTTGACACTATTATGTCATAGGCTGAAAAAATCATATATTGTTAATGATGGAGTACTTTTTGTTGGGTTTTATGAAATTGTTAAAAAAATATTAGAACACGTTTCTCAGACAGCTTAACTGTAACACACAAAATAATGCTATTCCATTGTATCATTAACTTCATAATTGCACATAATAAACTAATACACATTGTTATACGATTGACGACCAATTTTGTCAAAAATTATGATCAGGTTTCTACCTTAAGAGCAACTATAATGTTATCGTGAGTACATAGAAAAAATATGGCGCGTCGTTTCATAACTCATATATTGATAATAAAGATGTTTATAATTGCCAATATATTATAGAATGTTTGTGTTTTGTAACAAGGCACTGAGGACAACAATCTAGATATCAAGTTTCTTTAAAGCTGGTATACGATGTAAATCATAAAGTTTTCGCATTATTGTATATTCAAAACAATTGTACATCCGGGCAACTTTACTTACCGTAGACTGTACAGTATATCCCCATTCGGGTGCAATCGGAAGAACTGGTTGTCCCTTGTAACGTAATGGAAGTCAGCCTGCTTGACATTTACGAAAAATAGATCGGGAACCCAGAATCGCTCTCTGAGCTCGTCCGCTAAAACAATAGCTTGAGTGTGATTGAAACTTAGTCGGGGATCTTGCCAATACTGACGAAAATACAACGTTACCTGATAGTCCTGAGAAAATGAGAAAAATATAAACAATTGAGAAAACTTATTACTACTTTATACTATGTTGTTATACCTCATAATAACCTTATTATTATACATCTTTTCCTTTCAAGGATACATCATGGGAATGCCGAAATCCAAAATGTTTAGAACAGAATCAGCGAAGTTCTTTGTGTGGAGTCCGGTCAAACTCTGGTGGCAGCCATGTTTGTTTGTTATTATCAGAGGATGCTTACACCGTATTCATTCCATATTTGGAATCCGCGTTTCCTAACATGGTAGGATGAAATTATGGCACTCTGTAATGTATGGCGTTACGGTGACAGATATAATAATAACATATGTTTGGATAATTTGAGTTATAATAAATTTTCGGTCCAGTTAGACATAAAGTGTTCTACGAATATTTATTTTTGAGATATAATTTTTGGTATGTTTTTGAGCTTGGGTATTTCAGCTTCGTCGTCCTGTAATTCGTTTAGTAATTCGGACTTCCCAGATTGCGTAACAACGAGGAGCATTGTGGTTTCGACACGGAAAATTCCTGGGCTAAATCATTTAATGAGAGATGGTCGCTTAGGTAGGTACGATTTGGTCGCAATTTCTGTAGCTATCACGTGCCATAAATTGCATTTTACTGTCCCACAAATTTGTTTCAAAGACTGCAGTCACATCAGCGATAACCAGAACATTGAAACGTTCGTCGTGAATTGCATATGCATCAAATTGCGTTTTTTAAGTGTGCTGTAAGCTGCATTTTTGGAGTTCCACAAATTTGGTTTGACCTTTGTCATCTATTTATATCCCCTAAGAAAGTTTCTCAATTTTCTACCTAAGCATGTTTTCAACGAAAGAATTATATAGATAGGTAAAAAAATACAAATGATTTCACCAGCATGGGCTTTATAAATCTTTGGGCCTGAAAACTAGCAAAGACGGGAAATAAAATTATTATTGTCGCCATGTGCATTTATACTTGCTTTCTCCCTCACCAGAGTGAATTACATTGAATTTATGTCCTTCATAAAAAATCATAAAATTGTGTGTCGTTCTGGGCCTCACTGGTCACTGCGTTTCGGGGAATCTTGCCGATATCGATTGACTCGCAATTACTATAGCTATCACCGAGGCAAATACTCTCTCACCCTTCGGTTATTATCACCGATTTTTGTTTCTTGGTACTGCCAGAGCAGTTGCACAAATCATAAGGACAAATTAACAGTTAACTCTAACTAAAGGACCAGTTACTGCGACAAAGCCCCACTCACTGTGAAAGCTACTTACTAAGAAAGCCACTCACTACGAAGCGGCCACAGAGAAACACTGAAATACCGTTGCTCAAATATGGCTCTTTAAGGTATTTTATGACACACCTATTATTACTCGAACTTTTATAACCTGATTTTTTAGTTTTTTTTTAATTATGTACAACACAGTGACTGAAATTATAGTTCGTATTTGTAGATTATTTTTTTATCGATGATGTGGCGATTGGAAAAGGTTACACTTGTGAATGGTGGCAATTTCCGCTTCTAATCTTATCTCCGTATATCCATTACATGCCGGGCCTCAACAAATTCCTCTAATTCTAAGGCGGAGAGTTCTGTCACGTGACTTTAATGATTTACATAATCTCGTGCGATTTTAGATATCATCTATATTTTATCCCTTTTGCGTTTATTTCTGACATGATGTCGTATGAACATCCATCTTTGACTCCTACCAGAATAGAAAGCATCGCACATTGGAATGAGCTTCTGAACGCAGATAACGAACGATTCTAAGGGATTGAGACGATTTCCTGGTGTTTCATACATACTGACATTAATGTCAGATGATTTGTGGTGTGCATAGTACGACAAATCGATACGTTTGGATGTATCTGATTGTACGAACATTCAAATGTGGGCAGTAGTGCAGACATTAGTCAGTCCATGTTAACTTGATGACCTGTTCCTCCACAAAACAATCAAAATCGTGGGATTTCGTTGTCACCGGTATTGTCTGCAGACGACGTCATTGTTGACAAATATTCGTTGACGCATGCACATAATTTTAAAATGGCGTCAGTCTTGAACAGTTTTTCGAAACATTTCTGAAGTAAGGTTTACTTTTTAGAAAAGTCTTGAGAACTGTCTCTTAAATGACGTCAATATATGAACAAAAATAAAAAAGGCCAATCACACCACAAAAAATGGATAATATGTGTTGTGCTGTATTATGACCATAAGATCGTCTGATAATAATAACGCAGACGACATCTAGTCGAAAAGTATCAGTTGACACTTGAAATTACGTCAACACAGAAGTAAAATAATGTTTTTTAACTCCAAGTGTTAAAAAATATGTTAATATAGTTGGATGCGGTTTGTTATATGATAATATAATATTTTCATATGTTTTATATATATGAAGAATTTGGTAAATACTAAATTGACATAAGCAACTCTCAGTGATAGACTTACCATAGTTGTCTCTTTAATTGTATCAAAGCTTGTGATATACATGTCACAGTGAACAATTACAGGTTTTTCTGAAATGACAAAAAATATTCTCATATAGTATATATATATAAATAGTCCCCCGTCCTTCGTCCGTCAGGTCGTATCCAACAGTATTTCCTACATGTTTGGAATCACATATTTTCACCAATCCGGAATCAGATATTAGTCTTATTTTTCTAATCGGATTCAAACTGGCCGAAAGGCGGCCTTTTTGTTTGAAGAAATGCAATTTTTGTTATCAAAAATTATAATTATAAATGACGGACTGGCAGCCATCTTGTTTGAAAAAATGCCATGTCACGGAGCCATATCTCATAGATTCTTTGACAAATCAAGTTTGAATTTCACACCTACATAACTGATTAAGGCTTGTAAGTTTTATCACACCTATACCACAAACTAGGACAATGACAATGACTTGTTTAATACATGACATGTTCGTTTCACTAGATCCTCAGATCCATCACTGTAGATATACTGGAAAAAATCATCACTATTGAATATCACAACTTGAGGAAAAGTGAATGATAGTTGCTATAGTTACCATCTGCAAAGGGACGTATTCTCCTATCGTAACCGACTAATAATTGGTCTATTATTAATGACTGAATTTCTTGATTTGATAGCTTCTTATCAGATGAACGATTAATTGTATCGCTGACTGCAGAACTCGTGCCATCATTCATTGCTGTCGGATTGTCAGGGACAACAGTCGAATTATCTAGCCTGTAGAGTTGAAAAATGAAACACATTACACAAATACGAACATTAATATAGGTATGTGCGCGTCTTCTCATTTTTCAAATTATTTTTCTGACCCTAAATATGAAGTTCGGCGTTCTCTTGTCACAAAATGTTCATTCCGTTGCTAGGAAACAATGTTGTATAACATCTAAAGATTGTGATTAGCTGTACTGTACATTATTTGAAAACTCCATTAGGCACAGATAATTTTTAATCCGTCTCGCATACCAAATCATTTTAATGAAGTAGCTGATTACTTTGTTAAATGAATAACACAACAATCACTTTATGTATCTGGTCACCATTATAAAAATTAAAATACACACAAACACAATTTTCTGTTAACCTGTACATTCTTTATTAATTCTAAATGAAAGAATGTTAGAAGTCATTGTTTGAAAACAATTACATCAAAGCAGGTAACTACTCAACGAAATATACTCTTACAGATTCTGGAAAACACTGAGGGATTGTACGTGGCAAACGTTAATGTAAACAGTTATCAATGTCTCAATGTAACAAATACGTGAACGTAAAAATAGTTATTTTAATCATATCTTCTGTAACATTACTGATATCTAACGTTCTAAATATTAGTCAGGGAAGATATGAATAATCTATTTTTCCCAGATATATGAGCAATCTGGCAACACTTTCAATCTACCAATAGTTTTCTTTTTTCCTTTATTTTAATTTTCGCAATCCAATCGCAAGGGAAGAAATTACAGCACGACACTAATGTGTAGTCATCTATATTTTGACATTTTAATAATGAATTATTAAGGTTAATTCAATTTCCATCAAATTATTATCACCCGAAACTTCCTCTTTTGTCGTCATTTACAGAACTATACGTACGTTAAGTATAAAACCCTGAGAAAATAATCAATATATGATCAGAACTGTGTTTTGCATATGACGTGTTTTGACGATACGGACATCCATCAAACGTATGTAATAAACACAGTTATACTGCCAAGCATATCATGACACTGTTTGTTTAAGAATAAGTCAATACTGTATTGTGAAATGTGATGTGATACGCCATAACCAGATCAAGTGTATGGACTTGTCATTATCAACACCACTATGGGGAATTGTTAAAACCATTAAGGTGGATTTGATGAATGAGAGAAAGCTCACTACTGGGAAATTAAATTTGTACTATTAGCGTCTCGTTGCTTTGTATTAGTCAATCTAGTAAATGAAATGCACAATTGTTTCCATGTAAAGGTCATATAGGTCACATGTCATATGTCTGAAATGCCATTTATCGCATCATCCAGCGTGGCACAATAATTGGCGTCGTAGAGCACACCTTACACGGTTATATTGTCAGCTACTTTCTATTTGTCTCACGGTCTGTTCGGCTTCTCTGTTTTGAACTGTGGAAATATGTAAGAGATAAATATATATCTCATGATATTTTATTTTAGGTTGACGTTATCACACTCACACACGTGATTGCCGCCTGTGGCTCGGATTGATACACACATCTGGCGGTAAAGAGAAAATATCGTGGAATGAACACATTTTGTGTAGAATTATTCACAGAAAATAGGATTATAAATGACTGACAGGTATCAGTGATCGACGGAGGCATTTAAACAATTCGTGGTACATATAGTCCCTATTTGCCACAATAAAACCTTTGAGCCATTTAATGGGAAACTATCGCGCAGTAAGTCACCAAGTGAAGCATATATTGGCTGACGAGGGAGAGTGTGGCGTTTATTTAAATTTTATGTATGGTATGTCCCTCGTTTACTGCTAATCACCACCAAGTGGAACAACAACAAATAAGAAAAAGCTTCCCAGTTTGAAATATGAGAATTTCTAATTTGTTTTATTCAGAGGAGTACCTTTTTATTGTACGATTGTTATTGCAAATACGAGTTGTTGCTTTTAAATTTGTGTAATCGCGATTTATTGTTATGGTAATTCCCACATTTTTAGTACATACAGCATTGCTTTTATAATCGACTGTAGCTCATAAACACGATTTCTTAACGTAGAATAATCATAATTAGATTTATGTATAACATCAACTTTAAAAAAATACAAATTGTATGTAAAACATAACACGTACAAATGAGCTTTATTGCCGTTCAAGTAAATTTAATCGGGACAAGAAATATCTGCTTTACAGTGTTGTCCAGATTCAGTAGCTCTCTGTGTAGTTAAAATAGAAGTAGTCACAAACTGAAAGCAGCTATCCTGCATGGTAAATATCAGGCCCAAACGTCGTGGGTGCGAATGGCAAGCATTGGAAGGTGTCTCCTAAACAGATCCGTGGTACATCGTGGCCATTCCAGGATGTAAACTCGTTCTTACAATTAACTAAAAACAACATTAGTATATTAAGCCCATTTATATGATATTTCAATCGTGTGCATGCGACGCAAAACTTAATATATTGCCAAATATTTTGATTTCAATTATTTCCATGGGATAGCAAATTTAGTATTTTTTGCCAAATTTGTAATTCATTATCAGTATCAGTGTTCACATTTTCGTGGATTAACATTATGGCATTTTACGTCTGTGAAATAACGGCCAAATAAATACGTGGAATCATTAATTACTAAGGACCTGCCGTAGAGTTGGAAATTACTCCAAATAAACAAATGTCCAATTCGGGAACAGGATAATAGTATATTTGGTTATTGATGCAATAGTAGGGCTCTACCAGACTGGCTTCGCAAGTGCGTCGTGTTTTTCTCATAAAGTTGACGTTGATTGTGCACAAAGGAAGCCGCTCATTCCGCCATTGGATGGTGGCACATCGTGTATGTGGTGTTTACAAAGGGGGTGTAGATGATCTGTGGTACATCGTGACCAATAATAAAATGATTAGTTGTCCAACTGTGGGAGTCTTTTATTTCTGTGCTAAATGTGCAACACCAAAATCCCGCCATTTATTTTTCATGGTTGTTCGAATAGTCGTCTGCACCAGTATCGCGAGTTCTAAGTTTGGTTTACTATGTTGGCCGCTCGACACTCTTTCTCGGTACCGAAGCCCATTTAAAATCATATTCTGGACAAGATTTTTATCAATTAAATGATCGGCTTCCATTGCTGCTCCAACTCATTCAAAAAATGGCAGAGCAAAAACCGCGCAAATTCATTTTACCGCCACTTTACAGCGGTTTTCACACCGACACCAGTTAATTCCGTTACCCAATGGCTGAAGCAATTTCACACCATTAGACACGCCCCAAAACAGATGACGAGATTTGTCAGGATCGGCCAATGCGCATGCGTATAAAACAGCTGGTACTAATATTCTAATATCCCAATTTCCTAATAACTTATTTTGCACTCGTACAATGCAAACTACATATTGGATTAGGTTGGTTGGCCATCAAGTACCATCCTATGGCACCCAATTCATATATCACCAATACCATAGTACAGAGTTATGTTAACGAGTCAAAAATAAGACTAATATACTAAATTTGTATTTAATTAATTGTAAGAATGAGATTACATTGTGAAATGGCCACGATGTACCACGGATCGGAAAGTGCATAGGATATGCAGTACGAAGTAAGAGCTGCAGTACATGTCAATATGCAAATGAGTTAAGGCTAAGTCACATGATTGTAGAAACAGCTGGACAGGCAGTGCAAGGGCAATGAAAGCTAGCATGGTAGTAGGCACTCTTGTAGGCGATGATGATAGCACCACTATAGCACATGCTAGACATCAGTTTAACCATAAAATAGTGAAGCGAAGTGACAAGATTCATGTTAAAAAGACATGAGGAAATGGCTTGTATGCTCTTAGAAACAAACACAAACATCTTACTGTATCTGTCATTAGCTATTTGAAGAAGTGTTTCAACTATGTTTGTGCACAGAATGAGGGAAATCCGGAAGGTCTCAGTTCAGCGATATTAAATATTGTGCCACATGCATTTGGTGAAATTTGGTGAAATTAAATTTAGTGTTTAACAATAACTAAATAAATGTTCTTAATATTGCCAAATACAATTGTTCCTTTAATCAATTTGAACTATTAAGGATGGTCATTAATATCATATTTTTGAAACCAAGAAAAAATATAAAATGCATGAACCAGATTTGAAACAATTAAATGTTATGTATTTTGGTAAAAACAAAATCAATATTTGCATATATTCCTACTTTTCATTTATCCTTTACTATTGTGATGAACTGTTCACTCATCAAAATATCAAACATGACCAATGTCTTATTAATAATAGAGGGGGGGCAAGGGGGTAGCTGGTACGGTATTACGGAAAATAAAAAGAGCTTTTTACAAAGAAAAAAAAAGACGTTTTTACAGTTTACAGTGATAAAAAAATCGAACATTGAATGGTCCAAAGAGCTCTCAGACTCAAATGCTCCGCCATTACTGCGCCGTGTATAGAGACGCATGCGCATATTACCCTAGTAATGCTCTTCATTTGGTTAGAGGGCTTTTTACGTCTTGGACATTCAATTTTGTAGTGAATCGTGTCATCTAGTCGTTTTACAGTTTCTGAAATGTAATTTCCCTAGATTTTTTTTATTTGGATGTAAATTCTTGTACGTACCGAGAAAAATGACACATTTTGACAGTGTACGAAAAAAATATTTGATTGATTACGTTGTACGTCTAGCCTGTGATTACAGAATTTATTTTTTCTCTTTACGTTGTACGAACAAAAAAATATTGCAATTACGTTGAACGAAAATAACCCTTGCCCCCCCCTCATAATACTTACAATGATACTGTTACAAGAACTCCATTAATCAATCGAGTAAGCACCATCCGACCAATTATAGCTGGTTACCATGGAAACAACACTTAAAATTAGTCAATAAACCAACTTTTCTTTTCACTCAATAACAACTAATATATTTATGTTCTAATGTTATTTTATTATACCATTCACAGGTTAACAAAAGCATAGACCTATCTCCAGGACGCCCAACTGTGACACAGGGCCTCAAGTTAGATAAAATAGAAAGAAT